TTTCGTTTTCTCTCTCCCGCCCCCCCCCCCCAGTTTTCCAAGAAAAAGCTGAAAAGAGGTAGCTTGGAAATGCACCAGTAATCATGAGTGGATCCCAGGCAAGCCTCTGCAGGATAATTCAACATGCTACAAGAGAAGGCTATAGAGACAGATCCACGCAATACAAAAAAAAAAATTATATATATATAATCCAAAAGAGTGCAGCATAAAACATGTAGAATGCCTAATGCAGATAAAGATGACCTTACCACACAGGGATAAAGTGGGACCTCACTGTAGCACAGCTAGATGGATGCCTATGCGCAAGAGTCTGCATTCATGAAATGCACAGCATTAGCATGGAGCAGAACAGCCAACATTGAGTACACTTGGGAGACTAAGTGAATCTGGCCAGAGAAGATGGTTTCAGAAGCTATGGTGCTTTAATCCACTTTGTCCTGCAACAAGGACGACCACCCAGAACAAACCAGCGACTCGCATATAAGGCTTATGTTTTGCATCTGCTGGGCTTCCCACCAGGCTGCATCCACAACCCAGCCTCACCGCACAGGGATGGAGGATGGAGAGTTGCTGGTGGGGAGAGCGATTCTCACAGTGGGAAGTGGAGGAAGGCAGGTCTGGCTGCGCGATTCAGCCCTTTTGCCCCAAGAGTGAAGGGCAGAGGCACACAGCAGGCATGGCGAGTCCTGCAGAGACAGACCCTGACACGAGAGCATCACAGAGAAGAGAACAGAAGCCTGGAGGCAGCAGATTTCCACCAGCAGCTCTGTGCTGGGATAGCCCTTGCAGCACATCCCAGGCTAAGCTGCCATGCTGAACAAAGGAAGGGGAGCGCCGCTGGGCACAGAGTTTGGTTGTTTTTCAATGTCAAAACAGCCTCGGGCAGCTGCTAAGAGCCCAAATTGCCACTTACAGAAAAAGTCTTGCTCCGCAGCCTGCTCAGAGGTCCTGCAGATCAGAAAGGGATGGGAAGGGAGGAGGGAAAAAACTGTACCTGTGCTCAAGAGACTAGAAAGCTGATAAGGTGGTGTTGAGTGAGCGACACGAGGGTGAGTCAGAATGGTTTGGGAACAAAAAGGCAACCATGAAGCGATCTGGCAGTATGGAAAAAGGATGAACATTGCGGGGGGTGGAGAGGAGCTGGGGAGCCAGGACCTCACAGCACACAAAATAGCCAGCTAAAAACCCAAGAAGAGAAACAAGCCGAGATCCTTCAGCTATTGCAGTCATTTTACTATTCACAGTCAAAAAAAACTTCCCTTGTGAATGAACCCATAGGGCAACAATGTTGTGCAGTGGCTGTTTGAAGTACAGGATGCTGGAAAAAGACCAGAGCCAAGGGCATTTTCCTTTGAGTTGCTTGCAGAAGCTCATGTAGAGCAAACAAAACCCACTGACAACCTAGCAAAATGCATTCACTATAAAGAATTGAAGTTCAGTAGGATCCCACCTGGTGCAGCAAAGACAACTTTGGGAAAAAGAGGACGACTGATTAAAGAGGAGACCTTAAAATAGGTTTCTGAAAGCCACAGGCAGAGAAGCAAGTTGAGGATACAAGTCCTGTGGGCTCCTCTTTTACACCTAAAAACATAGCTTTGGGCAGGCTTGGGTTTGTACTACTGCCTGTCTCAAAGTGGCATTAAAGAGAGCTTCTCTTCTAAATGGGCACCACAAAAGCAAAAAAAAAACCCAACACACACCACACCAACCAACCAACACAATATGCTGCACTCAGAAGCCAACTTCTTGAGGGGAAAAAAAAAACCACACACAAAAACAAAAACGAAGGAACATAGCCCCCAGAAGAATTTAGAAACAAAAGGTGTTTTGTAGCAGCAGACAGAGCTATTTATAAGCTTGGCTATGAAATAAAGCTTCTTTTTTATAGTAGGAAAAAAGAGAACGAGCTTGTTTTCACACCCCCAACAACTTCCTCTCCTCTCACTGTGCCAGATGCTGCCCGGTTGGATCCAACCAGTTATCACCTCCCTCTACGCCATCCCTCCTTATCGCGGCAACCCTCTGCTATCATCCACCCAAGATAACACCAGGATATCTATTAACATGAACACAATATGAGCATGAGATCCACAGACTGTTTCAAGAGGGCAGAGAGACAGCAACCCAGCTCTGCCTTCCCCCTCACTGTCCATCAGAGGATGGTCCTTTCTGTTCTGTTGGCCTACCCAGCACAGCAGATGCTCATGTCCCCCCCACTACAATCCTATTATGGGCTGGTTCCAAGAGGTTACTGAAACCATTAAAAGTTTTTCCTCCCCCGATTAATTCAGTAGATCTAGGAATTAGGCTCCAGAAGCATCTGAATTTCAGGAGTACATGAACCCCCATGCTCAGCCAGAATGACCTCCAGCTATCTGCTTCTCCTTGCAACAGAAGAGAGCAGAAAAAACAGCAGATAGAGACTGTTCCTCTGATCCAGCAAAGGCAAACGTATCTTTACCCAAACAACAGTACCCAAGGGACTTAATTCTGCAGGTTAAACTAACACAGGTATCCAGCTTCCTAGCAGCATCAGAAAGTGAGAGACCAAAACAAACCCCTACTGCATACCCACTCTTTTCCAGCTCAGAAAGTCAGAGGTTTGCCCAGAAGCAAGGCTCCAGCTGTTACCATACAGTACCCTCCGACTCATCCAAAGCGTAGCTGGCAGAAATAACCCTGACGTCCCGTCAGAACAGCACCAGGGGTTTGTCACACAGCGCAAGGTCATAGCTCACCTACCTGGTTAATGAGTTCTCCAGGCGTGCTATTGCTCTGCAGCATCATCTATCAACACCTTCTTGTACTGGCCATGGCCTGTTGCAACAAATTTGTACTTTTTGCCAGAAGGAGTGGACTGAACAGGAGAGAAAGAAAGACCTAAAGTCAGCATTTTTCTCCCTCAAACAGGCAGGCAAGAGCAAACAACCAAAGCCCGAGGAGCATGCGATAGGGTTGTCCATAATCCCAGAGGGCTTGGAGACAGCCTACTCTGTACTCCCTTCTTGCCCCTTCCACATAAACTCTTTGCACAGACCAACCACCACTTTCTATAAGCGTAAGGCAACACAGCAAGCGCAGGATGTGCAATAGGAAAGGGAAGATGCAACACCAGGCAGCGCGAGGGACGGCTCATCCAAGAGCCCAGGCTTCCCAGGCCAGGGCTGGTTTCACTCATGGCAAGAACCAGTTTCATTTACCACATACTGGCAGCAGTACCCACCCAGGAACAGACAAGATATTTTGATCCTCCTCTCCCAGCCTGGGCAGTTTGAGCAGCAGCTGTTTGCTGCATTTTATTAGGTATTCCCACAAACGTACTGGTAGGCACAAAACCTCAGATCCATCTGCAAGTGTTGATACTGTCTTAGGTTCAGTTCCACTTAATTTTGCATGTTTTCTTTACTCTCAAGATTAAAAAGCATAACAAGAGCAAAGTAACTCACATTTGCAGTTCAATTTGAGCCTAGAAGGCTGGTGCTCCCAACTCATGGGCTGAGAACAACATGATGTTCAAGAGACCCTTCAGTATTACTGGTTATAAACCAATTTTTGCCCCCATTTTTACTAGGGTTGAAGCAATAGCAGCTCAGTGTTAGGAAGAGCCCTTAGGTATGCCATTGCATTGATAGATACAAGCAGCCCTTGTCTCTGCAGAACACCACCATCTTCTCAATACTTCCAACCCAGCCAAGAGCTCTTTTCTTTTTCACAGCAGAGCAAGTGCTTTCATACTCACACAGATACTAACTCACCTTGACGTTGGTCTCGGGTTTGGGATTGCCCTTCTGTTCCCAAAGGCTTCTTTTACTCACGATGTCTCCAGCAACAATATCCTGAGAAGATGATGTTCTCATTACCCTTCACTGCTAACACTGCTGAACGTGCCTTTTTTCACATCCCTGTCAAACCCGCACATCTGTCCTCCTTTTTTATTTATAATATCACATCATCTGACCTATGACAGCTGCAGCCAAAACCCATGACTGTGAAAACTTCTTCCTATTCCCAATATATCCTATGTTTTCCTCTCCCTCACTCTCTTCAACAAAAGCCTGGATCAGAGATCCAAGATGTTTATTTTCTTAAGTTAGTTAACTATTTAAGACATGTTAACATCAAGACTTTTTTTTATGTGGAAGGAATTTTGCTCACATAAACACAGATTTGCAACTAATGTGTTACAGAATCAGCCTTGCTCACAATGACCAGAAAGAGAGCAGCCCTGAGGAGAAGGACTTGGGGGTCTTGGTTGACGAGAAGTTCAACGTGACCCAGCAATGTGCGCTGACAGCCCAGAAAGCCAACCGTATCCTGGGCTGCATCCAAAGCAGCATGACCAGCAGGTTGAGGGAGGGGATTCTGCCCCTCTGCTCTGCTCTGGTGAGACCCCCCCTACAGCTCTGCCTTCAGCTCTGGGGTCCTCTGCACAAGAAGGACATGGACCTGTTGGAGTGAGTCCAGAGGAGGCCACGAAGATGATCAGAGAGGGCTGGAGCACCTCTCCTGTGAGGATAGGCTGAGAGAGCTGGGGTTGTTCATCCTGGAGAAGAGAAGGCTCTGGGCAGACCTTAGAGCAGCCTTCCGGTACCTAAAGAGGCCTACAAGAAAGCTGGGGAGGGACTTTTTACAAGGGCATGGAGTGATAGGACAAGGGGCAATGGCTTTAAACTGGAAGAGGGAAGATTTAGATGAGATATTAGGAAGAAATTCTTCCCAGTGAGGGTGGTGAGGCCCTGGCACAGGTTGCCCAGAGAAGCTGTGGCTGCCCCATCCCTGGAAGTGTTCAAGGCCAGGTTGGATGGGGCTTTGAGCAATCTGGTCTGGTGGAAGGCATCTCTGCCCGTGGCAGGGGGTTGGAACTGGATGGTCTGTAAGGTCCCTTTCAACCCAAACCATCCTATGATTCTATGGAAGTGAGATTATTAAGAGAGCAATACATAATACTCTTTGCATTTTCCAAGTTTACAAGATTTATCATTCTTTGTACTCGTTGCAACTCTGTGCTCAACAACTAGAGCTCAGTCCTAGCCCCTGCAGAAGACACACACATTCTCCCCACCAGCTGATTTTATTCCCATTTCAAAACTGAGCCTCAACCAGCATCACCAAGGCTTTCCTAGCTGTACTACCAAGGAACAATTTGGGACCCTAGCACAGAGGAAGCAAAGCTCTGAGGTACAAGGCCTTGCATCCTGACAAAGGAGATTGCATCTCTAACGTCGCTGCCTTCAGAGCTGGTGGGCACCACCAATGAGCCATACCAAGAGGCTAATGCAAGCATAATGCAGGTGATGCCCAGAGGCCAGCCCCCTCTCCCTGCACAGGCGAGGCAAGTCCTGCAAGTACCGTACCTTACAGGGCGAGGACTTCACGGCAGACTGAGCTGCAACCTCTCCAGTCTCCCAGAGGCTTTTCGTGCTGGCTACCATCATGCTCGTGGTGGGAAGATCAAGAGAGGGCTGTCGGACAGGTTTTGGAGCCTTTGTGGATGTCTGGAAAATAAATGGAGAAAGATCACCATCCGGGAGTGTGTGCTTGGTTCTTTTTTTCCCCTGTAATTGGAGGTCCTCAGGGCTGAGGGGTTGTAAAAGGAGACTTGTAGGGTCTTGCTAGTTCCTGCCAGATGCTCTCACCCTTTAAGCAGGGAACATGAGGAAACAGGGATGGGACAGCTCAGTAAAGAAACCTACTTTATGCTGCAGAGGGAGAGAGAAGAAACAGGAGAAAGGGTTGCGCCCATCCAAGCGGAGATGATTCAGTTGTCACCTCCCAGATCGTAAGACTAAAAGGCATGGTGGGAGAGCAATACCCAGCAAAAAGGGCTCCTTGGAAGGTGGGGACAGAGAGACCACAGAGCAGCCCACCTCAATAGCCTGTGTGTACTGCTCCAGCCTGTCATCAATCTTCGACACAGGAAGGGGAGGCTGAGTCTTCTTTATGCTGTTACTGGAGAGCAGAGGAGAGAAGAAGATTAAGGTGATCCCCCTCACTCCTGCCCTTCCCCACGGCAGGGCCCTCCGGCATCCTCCAATTGCAGGAAGGGACCTGCTTTACCCCGAGGTCACTCAATAGCCTGTGTGTACTGCTCCAGCCTGTCATCAATCTTCGACACAGGAAGGGGAGGCTGAGTCTTCTTTATGCTGTTACTGGAGAGCAGAGGAGAGAAGAAGATTAAGGTGATCCCCCTCACTCCTGCCCTTCCCCACGGCAGGGCCCTCCGGCATCCTCCAATTGCAGGAAGGGACCTGCTTTACCCCGAGGTCAACCCTAGAAATACCTTTTCTTTATTGAGCGGTTTTTCTGTCCGTGATCTAAAGTAGGAGAGAGAAGACAAAGATATTACTTTTGTCCATGGACCTCAGGTGGATGTAGGTCACCTCAGCTGACCATAATTCAACCATTTCTCTTCCCTGATCCCTCACCCACATTTTGGTTAGAAATGCCTCACTCGGTCTCATGTTCCCACACGGATCAGAGAGAGGGAGCATCCCCTTTCCTTCTTTCCAAGGTAGGTGAGCAGAATCACAACCAGTTTCAGGGACAAACCAACAATGTGCAGCTTGACTGACAGCTGAAACAGCAACCAAGACCATTTTCCTCTATCCCCTCTGCTGAAGGACCAGGTATCTATCTTGGATACTTGGTTTCCTAGCCAGACACGACAGAGTGGCAAGTGTGGAAAGACAAGGGGCAAAATTAAAGGCACTGACAGCCAAATGCGCAGAAGAGGAGCCAAGCATGAGAGCAGCATGGGCATGAGTTACATCCGCTTATCCGTACCAGAGAAGCACACAGCCAAGGCAAGTCAGCACATGGAACCACCTGCAAGGCAGCCCTTCAGGTCAAGCCGTCAGGAAAGAGATTTTTGCACAAGAAGCTCCTGCGCAAGAACTCTTTGGCCAGGACAGGAAGGCAAGCAAACACTTCACACCC